GCAAGATACAGTCATTATTGCTACAGGGTCCCACTTCCTCTGCAGGCCTTCCAGGAGTGATAAGGCCAGATTTTCCCTAAAACCTTTTGTCTCAAGATGCCTGCCTGCTCCTTGTGCTGCACGGCAATCTCCAGGCACGGCTGCTGCCTGCACAAGCATTATGGCATAGTCTGTAGTCTCTGTATGCAAGAGACTAAACGCAATCTTAGATTCCAGAACTGTTGCTTAGGGGATGACCCAGGACCTAGCTCAGTGGCTGGTATATAGTTGGCTTTCAGAGTTCACAGGTGGCTGGATGCCATTACCATGTTGGGGGCTCTCTCTCTTTCTCTCTCTCTTTCTTTCCATTTCTCTGTGTGACTACCTACCTGTCCCCACAGGTATATGTTCCTCGCAACACCTCCACTGAGGAGGCAATAATGGTGTCCCTTTTCCAAGGCCACAGCTAACAGATGACTGAGCAGGTCATTTGGCTCCAAAGCTCACATTCTTCACCAGGTTATTTCATCTCCAGGTCTCGGACTGAGTATGGCCGTACAGCAGGTTATTTCACCTCCAGGTCTCGGACTGAGTAAATGGATGGTAACTGGATGGCAGAGACCATGTTCGTGCTCCTTAGCAATGTTCTCTTTTAATGGGGTCACCCCAAATACACCTGAGGGCAGAGGCTTATTTGTGTCGGCCTGGAAAGGAGCAGCAGCTGCCTTGCCTGGTCCTCGGCGAAGGCTGTCCCCATGTCCTGTAACAGAAGCTTTGCCAGGCGTGTGAGCAAACAAGCAGATTAGGATTCAGCACAGGTTCCTCAGCAAATGTCTGGGTCCTGCTGAGGGACTCGAGCTGTGGAAACTAAAGACAACAGTGAAGATCAGAGACAGTCTCAGGGAGTGACAGGTGAACACTAGGATCTGTATGGTTCTCTGTCACCAGCTTCTCTACTCCTGGCTTGAGGAGTCCAGAGAGCCCCATGGTGCACGATTAAACTTTCCTCTGCTGTGGTCTCCCCTCGCCTTGGTCTTCTTTGGTCTGAGCTGACACCAGAGACAATCAGAGACCGTGTAACCATTGCTGCTGGGGCTGAGCTTCCATGTGCATTCTCCTAGAAGGGTCTCATTACCATATTAAGCATCTTTCACTTGACAAAAATCAGTGAGAATGTTTCACTCCATTTTCCCCAGAATACAGACAAGAGTGTCAAAAGGGAAAGGCAGTGGGAGCCACGGATGGGGACTAAGTCATCAGAAGCTTCTCTTTCACGCTCATGGCATTTATTTCCTTTGATGTTGAAATTTCCTTTCTCTTCTTGTGTTTTATTTATTTGTTTTTGATTTCTTCTTTTTTAAACTGCCACTCAGAGCTGCTATATTTCCGCAGAGCCCAGGACCAGCCTATGTCGATTGGAAAGGCCGACTCAGCTCTGGCAGTTAGAATCATCCCGTAGTGGTGGACCCCTGGGGCGGACATGCACGTCAACTCACATCTGGCCAGTGGGACCCAAAGATCTCACACATGATTGGCAGCTGGCTTGAGACCATAAGGTCCCACCCGCCATTTCTAATAAACAACCTAGAAAAGAAAAGCAACCCACAGAAGTCAACTTTATAATAAGCCCCGAAGTGCTTTTTTACTTTCAGGCAAGTAAAGTAGACAATTGGATCAATTATCTAAATTACTGAAGCCCCAAACACATCTCCCCTGGAAATACTCAAATAATTGAAGCAAAGAGAGCTTTAGGGGTGATCCACACCGGTAACTTCCTTCATCGGCCACATTGCTTTTCTACCTTACCCAGGATGGTATCAATAAGGCCACTGGGTGTGGGGACAGAGGAAATAATGTATTAAGTGCCTGCTATATTCCAAGCAGTGCTCAACAGGCTGTGCATACATTACATCACTTAGGTATACACACAACAAGACCTGGGTCTCCCCCTACTCAATTTTGGAGCCGTATTCACTCAAAGGGTCATAGTCTGCAAGTCATAAATAAATGTTAAAGGAGTTGCACTTTTAACTGCAAAAAAAAAAAAAAAAAAAAAAATGAAATACTGCCATTTGCAGCAACATGAATGAACTTAGAGAAAATTATGTTAAATGAAATAAGCCAGGCACAGAAAGAAATACCGCATGTCCTCACTTACATGTGGGAGCTAATAATAAACAATAAATAAATAAATAAACAAGCAAACAAATAAAAAAAGAAAGACATCTTTTTTTTTTTCCAGATAGAAATCATGTTTCCTTTTAATTGGGTACTTAATTCAGTTTCCTCTCTTGGCTGTTACTCTGGTAATAATTAAGTCTTCATCTCTCAAAAACACTGCATCTGACCAGACTGAGAGCTAGTGTGAACGCAGGCGCCAAACCAGGGCCTTCAAAATAACAAGGAACAGTAAAACCAGCCTTTCCCTTCACTTCGAAGGAAATGTAAATCATTGGGTCCAAATCTCTACCTTCCAGATGTAAAAAACCTGGAGTTCAATGCACAAAAGCAAACCAAAATCTATCAGGAATGAAGCATAGTAACCCCTCATATACTCAAGGTCAAGATGGTTTTTTAGAAATAAGTATCTGACCCTCTGGCCTCTTCTATTAGGAATGGCCCCTCTCCAGCATATTTAAAGGAAGATGATTTTGCTTCTACTTCATTTTCCCAAAGGAGTATAAAATCTACTAAGAGTGATATAATGAATCAGAATAAATTAGCTCACTCACAAGAAACATTCCTGGATAATGGTTTTTGGCTGCTGAGAATATTCAGCACATTATTTCAAAGAAGCAAAATTCAGGGCAATCTGAGAAAAGAGAATTCAGAAGTGGCAGCTACATTCGCTGACAGGTTTGTGTAGGACACACACATTACAGACAACCCTCATTTTCTTCAGTGTGTACGTCAAGGGGCCAAGACCTCTGATTACCAAAATAAGTTACTTTGTACATGACAGTGCACAGAACAACAGAGGGAAATCGCTTTCTTGGGGGGTGGCTGAAAGGCATTTTGCAAAAGGTGCATATCACTCTGAGGAGGAAGGACTGGAGCCCAGTGCCCTGTGTTTCATGGGCTCGACCCCTCCTCCTCCTCTTCGGTTGCAGCGGCCTCAGGGGCCGCCGTCTCCTCTCCTCGTCCTGCGGCTCCTCCTCCTCTCCCTCCCCGTCCTGCTGGGGGTGGAGGTCTGGGTGCTTCTGCCTGCATCCCTGCATGGCCTGGAGCTGGTCCCACAACCTGAGCCCCTGACATCCTCCGAGCTCTAGTGGAAGCAGGAAAAGGCTGACTTGAACTGTTCCCCACAGCGGCCACTGGCCATACCCCCAAGGCACGGGCAGTTCCAGTGAATGTCCCCATATGCCAGGATCAATCCATGTTCCTCCTATGGATCGTTGGGGTCATCGGCCACCAGCTCTGCACTGCTTGGGGTTTCGTGGTCTTCTTTTTTACAAATTCGATTCTCTCCTTCCCCTCCTGCCAGCAGTAGACCATGGCTGCAGCCCGGCGCTCAGACCTCACAGAAGCGGCGGCGGTGGTGGCGGCGGCTTGGGGTGGGGACCTCCCTCAGCTCCGTCAGGGTGGCGGCTGGAGGCCCGGACACACCCGCCCTCTCCGCGCCTGCCTCAGCGACTGTGCGGCCCCATCCCGGCCCCTCCGCCAGAAATGACATTTCCCCAAAAGACACGTTGATCACATTAATACATTGAACTTTTAAGAGAAGAAAACAGAACTGAGGTTACCAGAGGTGGGAGAGGGGAGGAGGGAAGGGAGGCATTGGTGAAGGACCATGAAACAGATCACATTGTATAATGTAGAGTATGCTAATTACCCTGATGGGGTCACCACATATTGCACACAATATTGATATTCAACGCTGTCCCCCACAGATATGGACAATCAATTGTGCCCTAATAATAAATATATATATTTTTTAAAAAATCCAAAATCAAGATGTTGACAGTCATGAGCTCCCTCTGACGGCTCTAGGAGAAAACCCTTCCTTGCCTCTTCCAACTTCTGGGGGCTCCAGGTGTTGCGTGGCCTGGGGCTGTGCTCCAGTCTCTGCCTCTGTCTCCATGTGGCCTTCTCTTTGTGTCTGCGTCTTCTCCTTTTCCATCTCTTCTAGGGGCACTTGCCACTGGATTTAAGGGCTGCCCAAATAATTAGGATGGTCCAACTTCAAGATCCTTAACTTAATTGCAATTGCAAAGACTCTTTTTCCAAACAAGGTCATATTCAGAGGTTCTGAGGATTGGAACATGGACATATCTTTTTGGGTGCCGTCGATCAATCCACTACAGGAGCTAATTAAGCAATAATTGCTTAGTTTAAATTAAATAGTAAAATTTAGTTAAGAAGATAATTTTTAAAAATTATACTCCCAATAGTTATGTTGAAGGTAGGTTCCGGGGGGCCTGATGTTGGCCTCAACCCACCCAGTTCTCTTACCAGGTTCTTGACTCCACCACAAGAAAGAATTCAAGGGCAGAGTCACAGTGGAAAGTGAGAACAGGTTTAATATAACAGATAAGAAATGCAGATTCCACACAGAGAGTGCCGCATGCTCCAGAGACTGAGCAGGGCCCACACCAAGTCTTAATGCAAAAGTTCAGTGCAGACATCAAGTCTAAACAACTAAACTAAACAACAACAAAAATGTGCTTGTAGGTCAGTACAGAGTGCAGGCTGGCTCAAGAGAGTGAGCAGCAGCTTGCTGAAAGTAAGTTAGATACAAAGTAACATAATGCAGACCTCAGCCAGCCAAGTGCGGACTTCCTGCAGGAAAGTGAGCAATGGCCCTGCCTTCACTGGGATTTGGCTTTTATAGTTTCTCTAATGAATATTCAGTTCAGGTTTAGTTCCTGGTTATATGCATCAAGCATATGCAAGAATGTTCTGTGCTCTCTATTGAGCACCCCCAGCCACTGGATTGCAAAAGCCAGCCCCTTGTGGTCACATTTTCCCTGTGTTGGTGCTGAAAACAGGTCTAACTGGCAACAGTAACTTTCCCCCAGGGGAGAACTCAGAGGAGGGGGCCTGAGACCTCAGGGAGTGGCAGGAAACTCACAGGCATGTCCTGAAACCCGACCCCAGGTAACTGAGCAACTCCTGTATCAGTCTCACCCATATGGGTAAGCAAAGAGAAATAAAAAAGTGGTTCTCATAAAAGCAGAGTAATGTTTACCAGAGGCTGGGAGGGGAGGGAGGTGGGGAGGAGGAGGTGTAGACTAATGGGTACAAAACTGCTGTCTACTCGAAGCCACTCATTCTGCAGCATGTACATGTATGGAAACAGCACACTGAACCCCACAAAAACAAGTACAAATAAAATGGAATTTTTAAATAAAGCCATGACAAGATGCTCAGCACTGTCAGGCAAACTGAAACCACAATCAAATCCCACCGCACACCTATTAGAATGTCTAAATAAAAGTGAATGAAAATCTCAAGGGCTGACAGGGATGTGGAGCGACAGAAATTCTAAGACATCACTGGTGGGAAAGAGACATGGCACAGCCACGCTGGAAAGAACTTTAAGTTTTTTATATAAAGGTCAGCTCAGGCTCACCGTAGGTCTCAGCCATCACACCCCTGGTCTTTACCCTAAACAAGAAAAGAAAAGAAAAGCTTGGGCAGGTGCACCAGGACGAGAGGGCGATGCTTGGGGTCCACTCTGACCCCCTGTCCACAAGGCCAGGGAGGAGATGCTGAGCCGTGGCACCGACCCCAACCCCCACTGTAAAATGAGATGAATAAACCCAATTTCCCAACAAAGCTAAGTGACTTCAGACTTTGCACATATGCAAAAAGTTAAGTAAATCCCAAGCTGCAAAAAAACCAAAATAAATGAAAAAGAAAAGTTTATGCCCACACAGACACCTGTACACAAATGCTTATAGAGTCCTCAGTCGTAATAGGCAAACCTAGAAGCAACCTAAACATGTTTTAAGAAATGAATGGATAAAATACTGTGATACGTCATGTAATGAAATACAACTCAAAGAAAAATAGACCTGATAAATACACACAAAAGCACACACATGCATGCTCACACACACACGCACTCTCACCTATGGATCTCCCAGTGTTAGTCGGAATGTTTAAATGTACAGTTCAGCATTAAATACAGGCAGGACGCTGTGCAGCAGGTCTCTAGAACCTACTCCTCTACCATAATCAAAATGTCATACCTTCTCCACAGCAGCTCCCTCTTGACCCCTCGCCTACCCCTAAAGACCACCATTCCTCTCTGCTTTGATGAGTGGGACTAGTTTAGGCCCATGTCAGTGGAATCCTACCGTATTTGTCATTTTGTGACTGCCCGATATCACTTAGCATGATGTCCCCAAGGTTGATCCATGTTGTTGCAAAGGACAGGTTTTCCTTCTTTTTGAAGGTTGAACCATGTTCCATGGTGCAGATAAAACCCGTTTCTTTAACGATTTATCCCTCAGTTAAAATGTAGGTGGCTGTTGTGTGGCTGAGTGGGAGCGATGGGGGGACCGTGTCTGTCAGAAGATCCATCTGGATAGGGCGGCAGATGGTGCATCCTGAGTACTGGGGACACGTCATATCAGGGCTTCCCTGTAGAGGATATTTCAGAAACTTTACAGGTGGGCATTGTATTGACAACTGATGCATCAATGGTTTTACTAAAAGTTCAAGGCCAGAACTGTCGAGCAGGGAAGCCAAAATAACAGCAAGGTGCACAACATGGAGGGCATGGTTTTTAGATTGTTCTTGGGGATTACAGAGAGATCTACATAATTAGTGGTTTATTTTACATAGCCTTAAAAAAAGACTATTACTCTTCTTCATGGGAATACTTTGCACTAACCAGAAGTTGAGTAACCTTGGTATTAAAGACAGAAGTATTTGAGAGTTGGATAAGCTTTATTTGAATGTGATCTTAAAGGAATACTCTGGGCTGGTACGTGTGTGATCCTATTTTTCAGTTTTTGGTTTTTTCATTTTAGCACATCACACAGGATCTGAGCCCCACCTGCTGAAGGGCAAGCCCTCCAGCGTCCCCCTTCTGCACCCTAGAGCCTGCCCCAGGTGGGCACAGTAAAGATGGTACAGCACCCGTGGCCTCTGTGATGAGAGCCATGTGCCCTGGGGGTGACAGTGATGAAGACCTGCCTGCACACTTGAGAAGAGCACCAAGGCCTGGCACAGAAGTGGGCACAAGTGTGTTCACGCACGCACATATGCACGCTCACATGCACAAACACACACGCACCCACACAGGTGGACAGATAAGAGGGTGGAGGATGCGGCATTGGGCTCTGCTGACCTGGGGAGGGGGCCACTGTGATGGGGTGATGGAACCCCATGATGTCACTGTTGCCAAGCGCCGCTGCCTCTGAGTTCCGTGGCAGTAGGAGGCTCATTCTGGAGTCTGCGAGCTGTGTGTGCAGGTCCCTTTTGTAGGCTACAGGTACATCTCTGCACAGGTGAACAGATTCTGGTGAGTGTGACCTGCTCTCTTCCCTTCCTGCTGATTTCCACACAGGTGCTACCAGGTGGGTGGCCCAGGCCTCGCTGGGTGGCTGTCGAGGGTTATGCCCACTGGGCCTCACCAGGTGCCTGTTCTGTGCTAACCGCATATACAGTTGTCCCATTCATCCTCACAGACACTCCGTGGGGTTAAGGCTAATGTGTCCACTTGGCAGGTGAGAAGCCTGGGGTCAGACAGGAAGTAACTGGGCCTGGGACCCAGAGGTGACCCTGGGCTGTGCTCTCTGCCCTGCCCTGTGTCATGATAGACACAACTTCTGGCCTCTGCAGCCTCCCTCCCTAGATTCAGGTTCTTCCTGAGATTCCAAACCGTGATGAGGCAGAGCCTGCCCCTGGAAGAGCCACTGAAGTGGGGTCTCCGTGGGCTGTGAAGATGGAGAGTGGGGGTGGAGGGGCGGCCTGCGCCCTGGTCTGTGATGGGAGATGGGTCACCCCAGGTGGGCATCTGGTCACCTCTGACCTCATAGAGCATCACTCACGGCCTATGTAAGGCCCACCCAATTGTGAGGTCCCTAGGCCGGGAGCAAGGTGGGGAGCCCTCTGTCTTGGGGCAGTTGTGGACAGGGAAGGAACCACTGAGGGAGGCCAGGCAGGTGACAAGTGTCTGCCCTGCAGGCCAGGGTGTGGGGAAAGAGGCTCACCCTCTGTGTCCTGCCCTGTCTCGTCCTCTAGAGGCCTCATCCACCCCTCCCATGGGTATTCCCTTGGGACGATCTCCAAGGTGGGACCATGTCTCTGACTGTGCTCCAGGACACATCCCCAGAGCTCACTAGTTTCTCATCTGTGCCTGGGAAAAAGACGGAGCCCCTTCTGATACTGCCACACTCAGAACTGTAAACTCCAGTGTCCCTCTTGCCTAAGGCATGGCCTCAACAAGCACAGAGGCTACTTCAAAGTCACACAGGTCACCCTTTTGCCCAAACCCAGAACCTTCCTGCTTGGCTGGTGCTAAGATTTAAGTAGAATGCAGCAGTCATGAGATTTCTTTTTGCCTCTAAAGAACTGGACGACTGTGTGTGTCCTGAGATCATCTGGGAGGCTAATCGTATAGAGACCTGTGGTCTCTAAATCATGTTCTGCTTCCTGGTGCCCAGAATGGCCCATCGGGGCCCTTCGTGCTGAGCAGGTAACACACATGTGTGTCTGTGCAGGGACCTTGGGGACAACAGGCCTCACCTTCCAGGTCCCTGGTTCTCAGGTCCTCAGACAGAAGCTTAACCTTGGCCAGGGGAAGAAACCCCCGAGACCACTGTGGGGTGGAGACAGAGTCTGGTCCCTTTTACTGGGGGGTTGGGGGTGGATGGTGGGGGTGTTGCTGGTGGAATTTTGGATCCCCAACCTGAGCAGTTAGGGGTACTCTCTGAAGCTCTCAGGGTCAGTGCTAGCTTTGGATTACTTTTGTCTTGCAGATTAAACATGAAGACGGGTATAAAGACCCTGTGGGCCCAGGAGGTGATAGACATCATAGAGAAGTACCAGCAGGTACAGGGTTGGCTGCTCCCTTGAGGCAGGCAAGTCCTGGCCTCCCCTGCTGTCCCTGAGGTCAGAGGGGCCTGGGCTCCCTGGGGACACAGGGGAGGGAGGAGCCATCCAAAGCCACCCATGCCCCCAACCCATCACCATGGCCCCCTCACTCCATGCCCTCTTGGGGTTGCAGGGACACCGAGCTGGGACACTGGTGAAAAACTGGGATGAGGAGTTCAAAATCCACAGACGCATCGACCGGCTTGGGTTTCTGCAGTGAGTTCTCTGACATCCCCCATCTTATCTCGGGGTTGGGCTCTGTTTCAGTTTGTTTGTGTTGCTATAACAGAAATGCCTGAGACTGGGTAATGTATAAGGAAAAGAGGTTTGTTTGGCTTACGATTCTGGGACCGCTGCATCTGGCACAGGCCTCAGGCTGCTTCTACTCATGATGAAAAGTGGCAGGCAGCCGGCGGGTACAAGCAGATCACATGGTGAGAGAGGAAGCAAGAGAGAGAGAAAGAGGAGGTGACAGGGTCCTATAAACAACCAGCTCTTGTGGGAACTAATAGAGCGAGAACTCACTCACTACCCCTCCTCCCCCAGGAGAGCATTAATCCATTCATGAGGGATCCACCCCCATGACTCAATCAGTTTCCAACACTGCCACATTGGAGATCAAATTTCTTTTCTTTCTTTTCTTTTTTTTTTTTAAAGATGACTGGTAAGGGGATCTTAACCCTTGTCTTGGTGTTGTCAGCACCACACTCTCCAAAGTGAGCGAACCGGCCACCCCTATATGGGATCCGAACCCATGGTCTTGGTGTTATCAGCACCACACTCTCCCGAGTGAGCCACCAGCTGGCCTGGAGATCAAATTTACACCTGAGTTTTGGAGGGGACAACACATTCAAACTCCATCAGGATCCATCCTTGAAAAGGCCAGCATGAGGAAGGGCGTGTCTCCCAGGCTTGTGCTGACCCTATTCCCAGGGTGGGTACGAGTCCCTTTCTCCCCTGGAGGTCCACCCTGGTCAGCACATGGCTGCAGTTCCAAGGCTTATCCAGGCAGCTCTGGGGAGAGGGCAGGTACCAAGCTGTGGTTGGGCCAGGCCCTTGGGCGCTCAGAAATGTGGCCTTTATGTCTGCAAAAGAAAGAGGCAACCTGAGGGCTGATTCCTGTCCCCAGAAGGAGCCTGTCCTGCTGTCAGCTCAGCAGGGTTGGGCCAGAGGGCACGAGGACACTTGGTCCAGCCTGTGGACAGTTGTCCCTCAGGTCCCTGCAGGCTCAGAGGGGCACAAAGAGTCACAAAGTGTACGGAAGAGTGTGGCCATGTAGTGAGATGAGGGGCAGGGACAGGGCCCCAGCCCAGGAATGGAAGGGGAAAGGCCATGGAGGCAGGCAGGGATGGCAGATGAAGGCCCCCTGAACCGTTGGTCTGGTGCTGGGAGGACATGTGAGGCCTGGTGGGGAGCAGGCCAGCCTGGAGTCTGTCTTTCCTGAGGTCACAGGATGGAGAGAGGGAAGGAGCCTGGGGGAGCTGGGCTGCAGGGGACCAGATGTGATGGGTGACTCGGGGATGCGTCTGACTGAGGGAGCCTGGGGATAGAGTGAAGTCACTGGGGGTGGACAGGCTGGATGAGGTGGGGCCAGGGACAGCAGCTCCACCTGGGACCCCTGAGCCTCAGGAGCCTCGGTACCTCCAAGGACTGTAGTGTGCACTGGATCCAGACTCCACTCTCTGCTGCTCAGAAACACTGCGGGCGGGGAGAGGATGCCATGGGCTGAGACAGGGCAGGAAGGCATGAGGAGGAAAGCCACTGCAGGGGGAGGCAGGAGGACACAGCGCTGACGTCTCCGAGAGCCAGCTGAGGCTGGAGATCTGGCCCAGGGCGATCCCGGCCACCTGCAGGGCCCTCAGTCGCCGTTCATGGCCCACTGGTGTCCCCCAGCACAGGCAGAACAGGCACAAGGCAGGAGTTTGGGCTGATCGGAGGGCTGAGGGGCCACATTCAGAGGATCTCATAGGGCAAGTGAAAGAGCAGTGTCAAAGTGGCTGAGGTGACAGCAGGGTCTGTGGGCCAGACAGGATGGGGTGAAGTCAAGGAACAGGCATGACCATCGGCCAGGGTGCAGACACAGGCAGGGTGTGTTAGATGCTCAGAGCTTGGCTGGGGTGGGGTGCCACGTGGGACAGCTCCAGGGTACACCCTCGACACACTGGGAAGGTCTCAACCCAGACCCTTTGGACCCCATGAAGGTGATGGAGTAACTTCCTTGGGGGCAGCTGTCAGAGACCAGCCAACCGACGCTCAGGCAGTGCTGTTTCTTAGCAGCTCTGGACTCTCTCGCCTCTCCCAGAGGGTGCTGCCTGCAGCCCAGGAGGGGCAGGTGCACGCTGCACCGCCAGTCCCCACGGCCCCCAAGCAGCCCTGGCTGGCCCTGCTGCTCCTTTGCTTTTGTGTCTCAGACCACCCTGGCTGGCAGCCAGCAAAAAGGCCCTGTCCTCCCTTTCCTATGTGGTCTCCTGGGCTGCAACTTGCAGGTGGATGGGAAGGGAGCCCGTCCTTCCTTGGGATCCGCTCAGGGAAGGGGATGGCTCCTGGCCTGCAGCAAGTCCTCAGCTCTGACTCCATTGCCTTTTAGTGAGAAGGAGCTTCCCCGTGTCACCACCCAGGAGGTGAAGGTAAGAGCTGTTCTTTCTACCAGGGCTCGGTTGGTCACCTGTTAGGCAAGCCTGGCCTGCCTGTGGCCATGAGCAGGTGTCCATAGGAAGGACACATAGTCACCAGGATGGGCCGAGATTCTGAGCTCCTGATCCCAGGACTCCATCACAGGGGCTGATTACCAAACATGCCCATCCCAGATTTGCACATGCAGCTCAGGAGTGACTGCCACTGGCCAGCAGGACCCCACATTGAGGCTGGGACCCCATCCAGGCATGGAGGTTTGTGGCCTGAGGACACCATGTCCTGTATACACCAGGTCGGGCCACTCGTGATCTCCCAGTCAGAGGGTCTCAGCCCCAGGCTCTGCACCTTGTTTGGCACTTTCCAGTTCTGTCCCATTAGGAACCCAAGCACAACAGTGACGCGGCATCCATGGGCCACTCCAAAAAGCACGGCAGCTCAGCTAAGTCCATCATCTGTCATTTTACAGCAAACAAAGAAGAAAATTGCCCTGTGCCACAAATGGCTGAAGATGTTTCAACATTGGGATAAATATAAAAGCAGCCAAAAGGTAATGTGGGGAGTGGAGGCCCCTGTGCCCACCCTCTGCAGAGGGAGGGTGAGTGGTGTTCACACATGACCCCTGGCACCACTTGCCTCTCAGCTGCTGGGCACCACCCTGTCCTGATGCCGAAGGGCCACAGGCCTGGGTCACCAGCTTTCCTGCACATCCCTGCAAAGGTCACCTTGCTGGGAGAGAATCTGATGCCAGATATTGGGCCACATGTAGGTCAGGGACAGGGATGCCTCCTGTTGGCCCCAGAGGGAGGAAGACATGGCGATCACAGTTCACAAACCCCATCCAGTCTGTTCCCACAAGACAAAAGGCCCAGTTCTAGGTAGACTTAGTCTCTCCTGGGGAACCATGAAGACAAACACTGGAACCTTCCAGAACCATCACTCTGTGATTCCCCCCCACCCCCTTCCACGGTTACCCTGTGGACTCTCTCCAGAGCATTCTTCTCTCCACAGATGTCTCGCCGGGTGTACAAGGGGATTCCCCCCCAAGTGCGGGGTCGGGCCTGGTCCCTTCTACTGGGTGTGGACAAGGTCAAGATGCAGAACCCAGGCAAATACCAGGTAGGGCCCTTCTCCACTCAAGCAGACACAGCACACACAGGCCTGGCGTGATCAGCAGCCCGGGTGCCCTATCTGGGGAAAGCGGTGCCTGCAGGGTGCTCAGGTGCACATCCCGGGGATCAGGGACTCCACGCCCGTCCTGCTTTTTCACAGCAATGTCTCCTACAACCTGGCCTTGAAGTTTCTCTCTCTTTCTTCTGGCACATTCTCTTTATGAGTAGTATGTCGCCAAGTCTGGCCAACACTCAAAGGAATGGGAGTTAGGCTGCACCTTTTCCAGCAAGGTGTGTCACAGCATTTTGGGCATATCACCAAAGCATCCCAATGTTGAAAGTGTCAGAAAGCTCACGGGTTAGGAAGAAGAGCAGCAGCCCTAGGAGGCAGCAGTGGTGGATGCAGGTCATCTCCACCCGGCAGGATTCACACACATCGTGAGAGCGAGCGGTGCCCAGGGTGTGGGGACAGCCCCCACCCTCCAGCACGGGGGCTGCATGTGGTGGGCACTCTGGGCACACCTGACAGTGATAGGAACAGGATGCACCCAGACCACGTGGCACCTGCCCCAGCCATGACTGGACACCTGAATTTCAGGTGGAACAAAACAGTAGAAAGAAGGAGATTAAAAATGCAAGATAAGGGCCTTGCCCGTGGCACACTCGGGAGAGTGCGGCGCTGGGAGGGCAGCAGCTCCCGCTGCAGGTTCGGATCCTATATAGGGATGGCCAGTGCGCTCACTGGCTGAGTGCGGTGCGGCCGATCTCACAAAAAAAAGACAAAAAAAAAAAAAGAGAAAAAACAAACAAACAAACAAAAAACACAAGATGAGACGGAAAACCAAAACAGCTAGGAGAAGAAAACAAAAACACAAAAGTAGTTTTCTGAAAAGGCCAGTTTCAGCACAAAACTTCTCCCAAGCATAATGCAAGAAAAGGAGGGAGAAAAAAATGTGAGGAATTTGTAGAAAGGGGGCACTGAGCACAGGCAAGGTGAGGATAAAAGGGATTAGGAGGGAAAGCTGCCTGCCTCTTGCTGGGCACACTTCTGAAAATCAAGGAAACCATGAGTTCCCAAGCAACACTGAATCAGGTAGAAGAAAAAGAAGAGCCTTCCTTGAACGATGACCAAAGTACCGATTGAAAAGACAGGGGCCACCATCGGTCAAGGGCCGGGCTGGTCACAGCTGAGGTGCACGCGCTCTTCTAAACACGGGCAGCTCCTCAGCCTGGATCTTCCAGACCTGATGAAAGGGGAAAGCTCCCAAGTGCTCACTGAAGCTGTGAGCCTAAGAACCCAAACCTTGTAAACCCGTCCCCAGAAAGAAAGACCCTGGGATGAATTTCCTATGGGACTTTATAGATGGAACATTCTAAATATGTTCTTCCCAGCTGGAATGTAGGGAGATGTCAAAAATAGGATATATCCTGACTAAGGAGGACACATTCCAGAAACCACGGGAGGCTCAGCAGGACGCAATGGGTGCTCAGTAACCCATGGGCACAA